TAAATAAATAACTATAAAAATATAAATCGTAAATATTAAAAATATTTTTTCACAGTATATATAATATATAATAATATAACTTAGTCAAAAACTATTCAATATTTGACTCATTTCGAAGGTATTAAATAGACGATTATAATGGTGTAGCTTGTTAAAATAAAAATGTATTTTTTAAACATGTTTTAATTGATATACGATTATGTATATTAATTCGATAAACGTTTAAAATGAAACATTTAAAACTAAAGAACGTAAAGTAAATTAATTAACTAATTATAGGGGTATAAAGTGTAAAATTTGAAATTATAATTAAAAAATTCGATTGTGAGAGGGTGAGTGTATGTGTGAGGGTGAGTGCATGTGAGGAGAGGAGGAGGTGAAAAGTGTATAAAGGGTATCTTGGTCATTTAGTATTTTAAGACTTTAAGACTTTTGCTAAATTTGCTTTATAAGATAGTATAGATATGCAATGTGTGGATTTGGGGGTGTTACAGAGATGGTATCAGAGCCTCAAAATAGTTGGGGGTAAACCACTTGTTTTCTAAAACCAAAGTTGGAGTATAAAGTTTTGGTTCAACTAGTTTTGAATCAAGTTCTTCCTTGGAATAGTTGTGAAAATAATCTGTAGAAAGTGCAGGAACTTGAGTTTGGTAACTTTCATTTCGTTCAAAATAGTCAAAGGGAACTTGCATTTTGTCCTTTCTCTTCCTATTCAGGTCTTCTTGTTCTTCAACCTCATCTGAAGATTTAGAAAATTAAATTTAAAGTTCAGGATCAAGGTCAAGATATTCAAATTTATATAAAGTCGGAGTGAAATATAAAGCCTTTTCCCAAGCAATTCAGATTCTCATAGCCTAACCCTTCCCTTGGATTGAAAAATCTGGTTTCGGTAGGCTTGTTTAGAAAATTAGTTGGGTCCGTTTGCCCTCTCTTATACAACTTCTCTTCTTGGGCCTTCAGTTTTTCATTTAAAATCTTGTTTTGCAAGGTAAGAGTACTGTTTTTAACAATGAGATCATCATTTAACAATTCTAAAGATTTATATTTATCATACGAGTCAGATAATTCAGCTTTTAAGATATCTGATTTTCTGAAAATAATTTGCTCTCAGATAGCAAAGATTGTGCCCGGTCAAAATTTTCAGCATTTTCATCGTTCAGTTTAATGTATTTTTCTTGTTGCATTATAAGTTCTTTTTCTAAAATAGCAACACGATCTTTTTCAGATTAACTTTTGCTGAAAATCCTGAAGTTTGAGCATCATTCTATGCATCTACTCAATGCATGAATTTTCTATTACCTCGTCACTTGATTCATCTCTATCCTCTTTATTGTCAGATGAATTAGTTTCAGTTCTTGCCATAAGACAGGTATGTGCAATAGCCTCTGATTCCTCATCCTCATCGGTAAGATTTAGCAAGTGATCATCCTCGGCCATCAGTGCTTTACCCACATCCTTTTGCATGGAAAGGAGGAATTTGTTCTTGTAGTAATCAGTGTTTTTCGACACTGGTTTTCTACAATTAACTGCAAAGTGTCCCAACTTACCACAGTTGTAACACTTTGTGTTCTCGTCAGCAACTCCCTTCACTAACTTTTTATTCACTTCAGATTTCTTGTCAAACTTCTTTTCAAATCTTTTCTCATCAAACTTTTTCTTCTCACCAAACTTGTATTTATAGTCGTACTTTGACCCAGATGAGAATCTTTAATTGTTGGAGTGCGGTTTCTTGTAGAACTTTTTCTGAAAAGCCTTTGTCAACATCACCATAGCTTGTTTAATCTCCTTCATATCAGAATCAGAATCAGATTCATTGTTGCTTTCAGTAGAAGATTCACTAGATTGAATCACTTCTTTCACTTGCTTTCCAGACTTACTATTTCCTTTCTTCTTAGACACAAATGCCAATGGATCATTAACTTCTTTCTCTTTCTTCTTCTTCAACTCTTTGATCTCTAACACATCCTCTTCATTTTGTTTCAGAGTTTCATAAACCTTGTGAATATCAATATCAGATAAAGATTTGTTGTATCTGATATTACTGGCAAATGGTTTCCACTTTGGTTGCAGATTACTCAGAAACATGACATTTATAGACATCATCAAGACACTCTCCCTCTCTAGCCTTGAATTTTTCATAAGAAGTGATACAGTTTGTAACATTCAGTTGAGTTCCCACTTTAGAACCCATCATCATCTTCTCTATTTGTTTCCACATGTTGTTACGAGATGATTTATAGCTATCAATCCTGGTGTAAATGTCATTGGTTAGCGCTTGCATCATGTAAGATTTACACAATACATATGCATGTGCTCTATCTTTTACATTTGGAATGTATCTTGATTTCTCTTTTACAACAAGTTTAGGTGGTCGGTTTTGTTCAGTTATAGCTAGAGTTTCCCTCCAGAACACAGCTGGTCCTTCCATTAGTGATTCAGTTATCAAGTCACCATCCTTTTGTCTTTCGATGAAATTGAGAAACTGTGATAACTAGATCCTGGTTATCACTCAATGCAATTAATGTGTGTGATTATTTGATAACTGATTACGTGATAACATGATAAATTTGTTTTATTTGATCATGTTAGTAGATGAAATTATGTACATAAATGAGTATGCAACAAATATATGAATTTTGTGCATAAGAAATATATATGCATGATATGGATGTATGTATGTGAGTATGCTTAAGTAAATGTATGTATTAAATTATGTATTCAAGTTGCTTTCAAGTATCTGGTTTTCAAAAGAAATTGCTTAAGGTGAGTGATTCTTACTACTTTCTAACTCTTCATAATTGTATAATTGAGTATAGAAATTTACTTTTGATTTAAAAGTTATTCACTAGAGTATTGTCCGGATTAGTCTTAAACCGGACAAATGTTAGGCGGATTAGCCTTAATCCGGTCAAGGCATAAGCGATTTAAACCATAAACCGGATAAGGGATGGGCGATCTAAACCCTAAACCGGTTAAGGCTTAAGCGGTTTAGTCTTCAACCGAACAAGTGTTGAGCGATTTATGATTATTGAGTTTATACCAAGTATTTTGAATGGAGAAGTAAAAATACGACTAAATGGTGTCCGGATTATTTTTAAATCGGACAAGCCTTAGGCGAAGTATTGTCCGGACTTGTTATCCGGACAAAAGTGTTTGAATTTATTCTAAGTGTTAAATCGGACAAGCCTTGAGCGATGTGTTGTCCGGATTTGGTAAAATCGGCCAAGACTTGACCGGAGATGAAGTCCGGCCAAGCCAAGTTGACCGAATTTGTACTATGCCTTGTGCTTGATTGATGAAAATTGTTATTTTATCATAAAATAGAAAATTTGATATAAATGATTTTGGATTGATAATAATTCCATTGACTGCCGTCTATTTGGAATTGTTTTTGTAAAATGTTTTGATGACGAAATAAGGGTGGCATATCAAGGAGAGGTGTACCATGGGATAAGGGTGGCATATCAAGGAGAGGTGTACATTTGATATAAGGTTGGCATTTATATGTGTGTTGAATGATATAACTCTTTCTATTATATCCCTTAAGATTACAGTGGTTTGGAATCTTTATTTCTTTGTGATTTAAAGATTCAGAATCAAGGTTCTTACTGGAAATCGTAGTTTGGATGTTATTGAGGAGAAAATAATAGGTTTGGCCTGAAACTTTAAAGAAACCTTGTTTGATTAGAAAAGGTTTAAAAGTGGCATTATATGAAACCTGATTGGTTCAAGGGTATGTTATTTGAATAGCTGAATGCTTGGCTTGAAAAGGGGAAGGAACTGGTAATATGCCCCATTTGTTCATATATTGATTATATATGTGAAAAGTTGTTTGATTTAAAAAGTTTTTGTGATTATCACCCTGCAATAACTTAAATAGGGTAACTCATTAGACCTTTCGGTCTAACCCTCGTTTTGTGATTTTAACTATGTATTGCAGAAGGTACGGACGGTAAGGGGAAGGGGAAAATGTGATATTTCCTAAATGTTTATCTACATGAAGAATTGTTTATGATGTATATTTTTGATTGATGAACGATGATTAGTACAAGAAATGTATTTTGAATTTTTGAGCCATGTATTTATACTGGTAGATTCTTGTACTGTGGGACCTAAGTGGTGTATAACACATGTATTTCTTTCGTATGAAGTGTATGTTACATGCAATATGTGATATGGGGTGTTACAGAAAATGGTACATAGCCTAAATTTAAGGGATTTAGGTATTTAACAACATGATACATAGACTTAAATTGTTTTATTGCATGTTAAGGGTCCGGGACATAGTTAGCACCATTGGAAATAAATATGATATGTTGAAAAAACAGTGTGTAAGGTAAATTTTAATTACATCTAGCCAGTGTAATTATGAATTTACAGGTACACATCTGAACTTAAATACTTCATTATATTTGGAAATGTGAATACGTGATTATTAACACTAAACTCTACAGATGTCTAGCCGAACTAAAAGATCTGAAAGAACGGCTCGTCCAAAATCTGAAGAAAGGGAAGAGTCACTTGTTAATCTTCCAACTAGCACGTCCGGAAATAGAGGTCGGGGAAGACCAAGGCGACGAGGCAGAGGAAGAAATCGGTCTCAAAGGAGGGGTCGTACTGAAGTTCATTATGAACCTGAAGAAT